CCGCGCAGCAGCGCTGTTCATTCTCACCCGGTAGCCGCGTTGACTGGTTTTCTGACCAGAGCGTCGCCCTTGGTGCTTCAGCGCCACCGCCGTGGGTGGGGACTGGCTCTTTGCGTAGTAGGTCACGGACGCGTTGGCGTTCGACAGATACCTCAATCACGCACGTTGCTGCTTATACAACTGAACACTGTTCTACTCTGCATCGGCTCGGATCATCATCGGCGATGCCATTATATGACTGGTTAACTGGCATCGGAGCTGCAGTGCCAAGTGTTTCCCAGCAAAGCCTGCCCCCCTCTCCCATTTCCGGGGCGTTAGCAGGTTGCCCTGCAGAAGCAGATGCAGCGGGCGCCCCCGCAGAAGCCGGCGCGGCAGCGGGCTCGGCGGGTGACCCCACGCTTCCAGATGGGTCCTTCTCCTTTTTCCGCGGATGTCCTGGTGCTGGCGCCTGCCCAACCGATGCCTTGGATGTGGTCTGGAGTGTTTCCCTTCCCGCGTCGGGCTGCGAAGCGCGGCCGCGTCGGGTTGAACCGCCCAGCGAGGGTGACCGGCCAGCTCCACGGTGAGTCCTGCCAGGAGTGGCGCCGCGTATCGCGACGAGCTCATTCGACGCGGGCGCGCTGCCGCCCTGGAACGCCGCCGCCGCGGCCGCCGCAGCTGGCCCCCTGAAGCGCGTTCGACGGGCAGGTTTCTCCGCGGGCCCTCTGTCAGATCGCTTCGCATCGTTTCTTCCAGGGTCGCCCCCTTCTGAACTGGTTCGCTTCGACCTAGGTGACCTCGGCAAGCTTGAAGATGGAAATAGATCTACGGCCTTCGGAAAGCGCTTCGAGGGCTCGTCTGCTCTCCTAGCGGGTCTTCTCGCATCGGCGGACGCAGCGGATTTCCCCGCGATCTTGCGCGGGGGACTGCCTGGCGGAGGCGCCCGCTCGTCGGTGGATCTTCCTATTCTCGAACATGCCATTCTTTTTGCAATCCAAATTCTATATCCACTCGGGCAGCTTGCGTCGCACTGCAAGAACTATCCATCCAATGCCCACGCTGCGATGCACCACTGCGTCACTTTTCCAAGACCGTCTCCTCCGCAACTTGCGCATCGATGTCTATATATGCAGCTTTGTCTTCGTCAGCATAATACTCGCATTCGCATTCAGACGCAGACGCAGGTGCAGCGGGATCAACAGCTCGCGCGAGGCTGGGCGTCTCGCCTTCTTCATTAGCCGCAGCTGGCGGTTTGCCCTCCTGGTTCTCATCGGCACCTTCGCGAGAAGAAGCAAATTTCCCCGCGGGGGAAGCCGCTTGTGCATCAAATCGGGCCTCGCGCCTACGGGGCTCGTTGCTTACCCGCTTGCGACGCTTAAGTCGGCGATCCTCACCTAGGGCCCCCCAGCCCTTCCCGACGAGTTCTGCCTGGACCTCATCTAGCGGCTTGTAGTCCGCCTCGGTTGGGCGCGCGTAGATGGGGTCGCAGCTCGGGCCCACCTTGCGACCTTCGCCGCTCCCGCGGGGCCAGACCCGCGGGGCCTTCTCGAAATTGGTGCTCCTTGAAGGGCGCCCCATCGGGCAATTCAGCCCGTGGTCTGCGAAGCGTTCGCATCCGCAGACCTGCTCTCGGCATTCCCCGCGACCCCTACAGATGCACCTTTCGCTGGCCTTCCTCTCCGGCGTTTCAGCCGTCGCGGCGCCGCCTCCTGTTGGAACATGTGTTCGCCCGTGTCTCGATCCCGCTGCGCACGCCACAGTGGCCGATAATGGCGACCTCGATGCTAGGGCCAGCCCTCTGCCCGCCATCTGGTACCTGTTGGCGAGCAACCCCGTCGCCTTGCTCGCCGACTGGTCTGAATCGAGGCTGGCCTTCGGGCTCGTCTGAGCCCTCCTTGTCCTGGCGGGGGTAGCCCCGCGACCGTGCCCCCTTGGCGACCCTCTCGGACCTCGAGGGCGCGGGCGCCGCGTGCCGCTTGAACGGGCACGCGAGTGCCTGCGCGAATGAGTCCGCCGGCGATGACGTGGCGGATTGCCCTCAGCCCCCCATTCCTAATCATCGTCCTCAGTGCGCTCAGCAATTCCCCAAGCCTTGCGGCTCGAAGGCGGGCCACGTAATGCGGAGGTGAAGCGAGAGCCTCCGCCGTGCCCGAGCTCGCGCTGGATCCGCTCAGAAAGGTCACCGGCGTCGCGCGGGTTACCCCGCAGAGGATCGTCGTCGCAAGATGCCCCGCGCGCAGGGGCCCCAAATCACACGCGGTCGGAGCGACAAGAGAAGCCCCTCCTCCGTAGCCGGTAACGTGCCATCATCGGAACTACCCAGCCCGTCCCCATCAGGATGCGCAGGCGCCCCTGCCATCTCGCAATCCGAGCCGGCGGGTGGTCGGCGCTCCAAGGTGATCTCTACGCGCGCAGGTTGCCTCGCGATCGGGGTGGCCAGCCAGTCTGCGAGACCGATCTCGTCGTGGCCGACGCAGACACGTAGACCTCTTCGAAGAGCTCCTCGGCGCGCCTCTCGAGGTGCGCGCTGGCGCTCATGTGCCTCGCGGACATAAAATGGGCTGCGGCTGCGGGGTCGCCCTCTGATTCGGCAGGAAGGGCCTCGCAATCGACGCGCTGAATGTCTGCATCGGTTTGGGCCAACTGCATCGACGGGCCCCTGCCCCCCCCGCCGCCCCGGGGGCATTCGCGACGAAAGCGCTGGGTGTTATGGCAGATATCACGCTACATGGTTGTTCCCGTTGGCATCCTTCGGGTTGCCCCGACGCCCCTTTCTCCAGAGGCGCGCCCGCGGCCTCTACCCCCCTGGAAGACACCCTCATGCTGTGGTCCCGTATGGGAGGCCAGGAATGTCAGCATGCCTCCGCCATGTAACAGTCGTCGTTTACCCGTGCCTCTGCCCTTGCCCGTTGACCCAACGCACATCGAACTGTACTTCGCATTCTTCGAACTGATTTCTTCATAAAACGTCTCCATCGGCCTTTGTGATGCTGGCGGCCCAGAAATATCCTTTGCGCCTGTTGCTCTCCAATGAGGTGCACGGGCGCGTCGGAATAATCCAGGTCACCAATTCCCTCGTCTGACGAGGTGCCAGCATCGGCGCCTGAGGCAAATTCGAGCTCTGCAAATTGCCCCGCCGAGCCCGTGAAGGTAGTGGCTCGGGCAAGGGCCGCCGTTGCCGACGGTCCCTGATTTTGGGCCCAGGAGTCTTGCGACCCCATGGGCTGGCCACCTTGCTGGCGCAATGTACTGGTGGCCTCGTTTGGTTGTGGATCGCCACTCCAGACTGCGCTGGCAGGTTGCCCCGCACGAGTGTCGCTATGAAAGACATCAGCGCGGTGGCCACGGCGAAATGCACCACCGATGTTGCCGAGGGTTCGCTCGGCAATATGGGCGCAAGCACCTCGTGCGCTCCAGTGAGGAGTCGAACTCTCGCTGACTCCCTGGCATTTGGTGGTTCAGTGGTTGCAGTAGTTGCTGCGCACGCGAAGTGCCGACACCTAGGGTCCTGAACAGTATGGCTGCCAGGATCTGGTGGTTTGGGACGTTGAACACTGCGGCGTCAGCTTCGCAGCGTGCAATCTCGAAGCGGGCCAGCGTCTGGTCGATCCGTTCTCCCGCATGGACGCGGAAGTCAATGGGAGCCGTCCCCGAATTAAGTTGTCGTTCCTCTTCCAGGTTCTCAAACTTAGTGCTGAGGGAGAACGTTGCATAGGTGGCGCCAACGGTGTGGCGACTGCCAATGTTCACTCCGAAAGGTATTACTGCGGGGGGGGCATTCATGGCTACGGGCCTTGCGGCACATCCGAGGCCACGCTGTAGAGCGACGGCCCGTTGGGAGGGGGTCATTGCGCCTGTGGCCACGTTGATCCAAGCATGTACCTCGCGAGCGAACTCGCGGAAAAGGTACGTCGCCGACAGGGGCCCCAGCGAGGGCCGGCAGCACGCGCGTCGTCTGCGGCACGCTGCACGTCCAACAACACATCCGATGGCGACCCAGATGAGGCCAAAGATAACGATGCCAATCCAATGGCCCCGTAGGTCGGTGTCGGTTGTGTGTGGCTGTTGGTTATGAGGCGGCATTGCCGTCACTTTGCGAAGAGGTGCAAGCGGCACGATGTTATAATGTATGTTACCATGCGTCGCATTTTCGGGCGAATTGCCAATTGACATAGGTGGGTGGACTTCAGGAGTTGTAGAAACGCCGAGATGTAGGGCTCAGGTACAAGACCTTTGCGTGAGCAGAAGCAGCACTGCAAGTGTCCATGCGATGGTGTGGAACTCCTCCACGTAGAGCCACTTCACCCTGATGTTCCAACATGTCGGTGGTCCACCAGATAATGCCGTGAATAGCAAGGAGTAGAGCTAGAGCTGACCACCAACTGCAAGCTCCGCTACCAATTTTAAAGCTGGTCGGGAGGCCCAACCAGATGCTGTGCCTAAGGCGAAGCATACATTCAACCCTATTGTATCGGATTCGGGATAGCGCAAAAAAATACACTGGAGCCGCGTGAGCGGCGATGATACATCTCAAGAGTAAAGGGTGGAACTTTTTCTGTCTCGATGTAGGGTAGCGGGCCGCGGTGCGGCCCGATCAGATAGGTGGCTGGTCACTGGGCCAAAATGGCCGCGGACAAACGCTCGTTACTTCTCGCCTATGCTCTTCCTCCTTCAAAACCTGGCTGCCACCCTCCCCGTCCTCCGGTCCTCCCTCCTCGCCCCACGGCCCCCCTCCCCCCTCTCCCTTCCCTCCTCCCTCCCGCCTGGTCCCTCGACCTCCTCCCCCCCCGTACCACCCCCCCTCTCCTCATCTCTGTTTCCCTTTCCTTCATCGGGGACAGAGACGGGGGCGAAAAGCCCGAGGGGAGAGCGACACGCGTATCCAGGAGCTCCGATGGCCCATGCCTTCGGTGAAGCTCCCAGCCGAAGGCGTCCAATGCCCGCCCCTGGGCTTTTCGCCCCCGTCGTCGCCTCCGACCTCTGGAGGGGAGTCGGCGGCGCCCGGCAGGGGGGGGGGGCGCCTCTTCCGATGCCTCGGTGTTGGCGCCGCTGTCGGGGCCAGGGCCTCGCGGGAAGGGCAGGGGTTGGAGGCGGCCGGAAGGGCCTGCGCAGGCTGCTCCCCGAGGAGTTCGGGCAGGCGGGGGTTCGGGGCAGATCTCCTCGGAGTCGGTCCCCGGGCCCCTCCCCGGGTCCATCCAGGCCCGTATGTCGCTACGGATCAGCTCTTGACGGTTCCAGGTCCACGGTCCAAGAGAGTCCAAGATGCCTCCAAGTTCGCACGAGAAGCCTTTGAGACGGCCCCAGAAGGCCTCCAAGAAAAGAGGCCTCCAAGAGCTCCACCAGGAAGGCCCGAAGAGGCCAAAGTCGTTGATATTCCTTTAGTTTTTGAAGGATGTTGGCACTTTATTATTTTCAGCTCTCCGACGGCCCAAGACGGCCCAAGAGGCCGCCAACATCACCCCAAGAGCGCCCGAGAGGCCTCCAAGATGGCCCCATGACAGGCCTAGACGGCCCAAAAGACCTCTAAGACGCCCAAGATGGCCTCCAAGACGGCCAAGACGGCCTCCAAGATGGCCTCCAAGCCGGCAAAGAAGGCCTCCAAGACGGCGAAGATGGCCCCAATATGCACCCAAGACGGCCCAAGATGTCCTGAAGATGGCTTTAAACTGCCCAAAAGGCCCGCCGGAGGCCTCCAATACCGCTCAAGACCCCTCCAAGACGTCCTCCAGGAGGCCCGAAAGCTCGGAAACTACCTGGTCCGATAGCTCGCCCTACTCCGTGTTCCCCGAAGGCTTTCGAAACCCACTCGGGGAACGCGTGGCCCGACAGATTGGTCAAGCTCAAACCCAACTTTCGGCCACGCAGGCGCTTCAAAAAAGGCAGGGGGCGGCGGTGATTCGCCGTAGGCGTCTTCGATAACGCCAACGTTTTAATATGCGCTGATGACTCCTATCCACCCCCGCATGCTGTTCCCAGATGCGCCAAGGCCGCGCCGACACGAACCGACGCGACGCTTTTATATCTCATTATGATAGAGAGGGGGCCGGCGGCAGCGGGCCAAGCCCTTACGGATAAAAGGGAGTCGCTACGACGAGGTGGAAGAGGAAAGGGAGGGAGGGGTCCTGTTTAGCGCATGTCTGTCTGTGAGTTGCCGTCGTCGTCGTCGTCGTCGTCGTCGTCGTCGTCGTCGTCGTCGTCGTCGTCGTCGGCATCGTCGTCGTCGTCGTCCCTCATCGTAGACACCGCCGCCGTCGCTATCGCCGTCGTGCCCATGGTCCACTCGGTCTCACACGCACACCCAGACTCTCACAAACAGACGCTCACAACGAACAATGGTAGGGAGCGAGATGCACACGTGGGGGGATCTCCGTGCCGACTAATTTCTCTATAAGCCGGCGCGTGTGCGGACCTGGACCTCCCAAAAGGACGGACAGTGGGAAGTGCGGGAGGAGGAGAGGAGGAGAGAAGGAGGAGGAGGGGGAGGAGGAGGCGGAGGTGGCGGATGAGCAGGAGGAACAAAAGGAGGATGAGGTAGAAGAGGAAGAAAAGACTAAGAGGTCAATGGAAAACTGCAGCCTTCCACCCCGCGCGCTCGCCAGGCTGGGACGCGAGGAAGTGCAGGGTGCAGAGGCAGAGGCGGAGAAGGCGGCAAGAGGAGGCGGAGGACGAGGGCGGTGGAGCAGGCAGAAACAGGAAGAGGAGGCGGGGAGGAGGCAGCTGTTGCAGGAGGGCGCGGAGGAGGGAAAGGCACAGAGAAGATATATGAAAGGAGGAGGAGGAGGAGGAGGAGGAGGAGGAGGAGGAGGAGGAGGAGGGAGGCGCAGGGATGAGGGAGATGGGGAAGCGGCTGATGGCCCGCGGCAGCAGCGGGCCCCGGCGCGACAGCAGCGGGCGGGCTCGAGGCGGCGCGGGCTGGTCCTGAGCCCGCCGGCGCCGCGTCGCCGTCCTTCGGCGCCTTCGGCTCGGGCCTGCCCGGAGGGCCCGCGCGCGGGCCCCGAGCCGGCCCGCTGGCAGGCCGGCGCGAGGCTCGAAGGGCGCAGAGCCCAGCGCGTCGTGCAGCAAACTCACGGCGGCGGGTTGAGGAGGAGGAGGATGAGGAGAAAGGGTGGAGGAGGAGGAGAAAAGGGTGGAGGAGGAGGAGGAGGAGGAGGAGGAGAAAGGGTGGAGGAGGAGGAGGTGGAGGAGGAGGAGGAGGAGGAGGAGGAGCAGGAGGAGGAAGAGGAACCTTTCGGCGCCTGGGGGCCCTCACCAAGCCTCGGGGCCAGCAAACAACCAACTGCTCGGGGCGAGGAGCTGGCCTTGGGCAGGGGCCCTTGGGACTTCTGGGGCCCCGCGCACTCTGGAACACAGGAGCGCAGCATCGGATGCCCGGGCTCAGGGGTGCGTCCTGACCCAGACCTCCAAGCGAAGCCAGCCTCGGCGATGAACCTGGGGAGAAGTGAGAAGGAGAAGGCCTCGTCAGAAGGCTCGGAAGTGTCCTGACCTTCTGAGAAGGTTTCTAAGCCTTCCCCGAAGACATGGAAACGTTCTCAGGAGGCGCGGAACGCTTCTGAGAAGCCCCACCGCCTTCTGAAAGGGCATTATTACTCTCACTTCCCCCCTCGCTCGCTGCCGACACCTGTGGCGACGAGGGATGGGTCAAGGGACATATGCGGGGCAACACAGTCATCGTGCTACCGTGTGGAACGCTGCACAGCGGAGGAGATTCGGGTTGGCCTGACGGGGCCATCACGAAAAGGACGAACCCCGCTCTGAAATTCGACGCGAGCTCCCGCTGCAGGCATCCTACGATGCGGGCAGTACTTCTATCCATATCCATAGCGTCTTGGATTTTTTGGGAAGAGGTGCCGCAACGACGAGGCGCACTGGATATGGATAAAATCAAGCCTCTTGGGGCCAGATTTTTATCCAGTGTGTCTACGGTTTCTGGGGAAGAGAGCCCAAGACTCCAAGACGCACTGGATATGGATATGACTATGGCCCGCACTACGAAACCTGGACCGTCAACATCCGGGACGCGCTCCTCAAAAAGCGTCGGCAGCCCCGAGCTCTGGCGTACTCGAGCCTGACGTCTCCCCGAGTGTTGTGAACGCTGAACCAAGACAGGACGGGCCCAAGGACGCGCTCCTCAAAAAGCGTCGGCAGCCCCGAGCTCTGGCGCACTCGAGCCTGACGTCTCACCGAGCGTTGAACGCCAAGCTGCAGGCATCCTACGAAAACTGGACCGTCAAAACCCAGGACGTGCTCCTCAAAGAGCGTCGGCAGCCCCGAGCTCTGAGCCAGGTAAGGGGTGTCTGAGGAGGATCGAGGGAGGATCGAGGGTCGAGGATCGAGGAGGAGAGGAGGAGGAGGAAGAGGAGGAGGAGGAGGAGGAAGAGCAGAAGGAGGAGGAGGAGGAGGAGGAGGAGGAGGAGGAGGAGGAGAGGGGAGGAGGATGGGGGAAGGAGCAGGAGGAGGAGGAGGAGGAGGAGGAGGAGGAGGGGAGAGGAGGAGGAGGTGGAGGGGGAGGGGGAGGAGGGGAGGGGGAGGGGATGGGGGAGGAGCAGGAGGAGGAGGAGGAGAGGAGGAGGAGGAGGAGGAGGAGGCGGCGGGACTTCTCGGAAGGCCTCCGGCCCTCTGCGGCTCGGAGAAAACTTCTCGGGAGGCCCCTGGGGGCTGCCGAGCCCTCTGAGAAGGCCCCCCTGCTCGCTTCACCACTTCGGGGATGGACAAACTCCCACTCGAACTCCTAGAGGCCTGCCATCTGGGATCCGTGTAGATGGGGTCGGGGCATCGCCGATGCATCGCCGATGCATCGCCGATGCATCGCCGATGCATCGCCGAAGCATCGCCGACGCGTCGACGATGCGTCGGCGACGTCGGCGAGACCCCATCCACCCCGACCCCGGCTGGGTGGCCACGACTCCGTCACTCCATGAATCGGGGATGGACAGACCTCCTTTAGTACAACGTGGTTTAGTGAAAACGACCTGAGGCCCAAACCTGGCGGGCGCAGGCCTGGAAAATAACGGCCACGGCGCCGTCTCGAGAGCCGGAAACGGACAATTCACTGATCGACGTGTCACTGTTGGGGTTTCTGTCCACCCCCGACCCCTGGGCTCGCCGTCGAAAGCCGTTCTTACGATAGGTTCAGGCAACGTCGGCGCGCGCAACGGTGTTTGTCACCGCTTCGATCCTTCAACCCTGCATCGATCATGGCCCCGATCGTTCAGGACGCCCAGTTCGGGGAGACGTAAGGCTCGGGTTCGGGGGACTTGGGTTGGCCTGACGGGGCCATCATGGAGATGACGAGCCCCAATCTCAAATTTGACGCCCGCTGCAGGCATCCTACGAAAACTGGACCGTCAAAACCCAGGACGCGCTCCCAACAAAATCGTCGGCAAACCCGAGTTCCAGCGCACTCGTGCTTCACGTTTCCCCGACCAGTGTTAAAGCTATGGGGAAAAACTGTAGCGCCTGGGCCTCAAGGCTCTGCAAAACCCTCGGGGATCGACTGGCCCAAATCAATCCAAACCCGGGTCAACCGGGACTTGCAAGATCCTGCAGGATCCTGCGCGCTGACCCGGGTCAGCGCAACCCTGGCTCTGCAGGATCCTGCAAGATCTGGCGTTCTGGCTGACACCCCCATTTGCGATGGCAATGACGATGACGATGACGCCACCATGGTTATCGTCAACGTCAGCGTCATCGTCATCATGTCATCGCCATCATCGTCATCGTCATCGTCATCGTCATCCTCCTCATCCTCCTCATCATAGTCATCATCGTCGTCATCAGCATCATCATCCTCATCCTCATCCTCATCATCATCATCATCATCATCATCATCAACACCAACACCAACACCAACATCACCATTACCATCACCATCACCATCACATCACCATCCTCATCATCAGATTCATCCTCATGTTCATCATTATCATCAGTATCAACACCATCATCATCATCACCATCATCATCATCATCATCTTCATCATCATCACCATTCCTCATCATCCATCATCGGCATCGCCATCGCCATCGCCATCGTCATCATCATCATCATCATCATCATCATCATTGTCGTCATTATCATCACCATCACCATTACCATCACCATCCCATCACCATCACAAGCATCGTTACCATCACCACCATCACCACCACCACCATCAATGTCATCATCATCATCATCAGCATCATCATCATCATCATCATCATCATCAGCATCAGCATCAGCATCAGCATCAGCATCATCATCATCATCATCATCATCATCATCGTCATCGTCATCGTCATCGTCATCGTCATCGTCATCGTCATCATCCCCGTCGGTGCCTCAGCCCCTGCGGGGGCGCATGGAGCGGCCCTCCCCGCATGACAAGGGCATACTGTGCCCTGATGTGTTCCATGCAAGGTCACCCCAACATCGGGGGACGTAAGACTCGGGTTCGGGGGACTCGGCTGGCCTGCGGGGGCCATGAGGAAGATGACGAGACCTAACCTGCAAGCTGACGCGTGCTCCCGCTGCAAGCATGCCGCGGAAACTGGACCGTCAAAATCCAGGACGGGCCCGCCAAAAACCGCTGGCACACCCGAGTTCCGGCGAATTCGAGTCCTACGTTTCCCCTAATAGGATTCCCGACCATTCGAATGGGAGATCGACTACATAAGTGATTCACTCAATTTGTTCCGCGATTTCTACGAAACGAATAAATCTAACTTTCGTGACTTTATCAACAATCTGCGTAGTTGTGGCAGATTCGACGAAACAACAACTGTGGGGTACATCAATTCTGTACTACTCACTCTCCTGCTCGAAGCCCGAACCCTTTCACCAATGCTTCGTCCCGAGAGGTTTTGTTGTATGGTCCAGGGGCCCGGCGAGGGCCTCCAGAGGCCGAAAACTAAGAAAACCCTCCATATGTCTTTAAAAAATGCGTTCGACGTCTGGTGAAGGCGGGCGGGCTCCGAAGGTTGAGCAGGGACCGACCGTTCCAGCATACCTGTAGGCCTACCCTGGATTTCTCTTAGAACGAGTGTTCGAATCACAAGAGCAGCGTTCTTAGAATACATTGCCGACGTCTTGAAACAGGCACCCAGAATTGCTCCAAGAACATGTCGTGCAACCCACAAGAGATTATTAGAGCACTCTCTGGTTGGCCTACAAGTTGGTCAGGACGCTTCGCCACTGCTTGAAAGGGGGCGGCGGTTGCCCGGAGGCCCAAAATAGCAAAACGCTCCGTCGTGCTTTTTCTCACGACGCGAGAGGGTCTGGGTGAGAAGGAAGTGTGGGGGGGAGGAGGGTCGGACGCAGCCAAAAAATTGGCACTTCAAACTTTCGAGTAGGAGCTCGACTACTTTTTTCTCCCCCCAAAGAAGCTTCTTTCGTCGAGTGTACGGTACATGCGCCATCTGTTGACATACCCATGTATTCGTAACCTCGGCGAACAAATCAATTTCGGAGCAAAGCATTCCTGTAGTCGACGGCATACTCGAATATCTCCGGATCTGCTACACTGAAGGGGCCCCAGGACACACACATGAATACACACAAATCCCAGGATTCCTTTTTTTCTACATTTTCTGGGTTTTCGTCTTCCCCCCCACTTCCCATATTTTCGTATATTTTCCTGGGAGTCGACGGTTAATTGTGTCTGTGTGTATTTCTCCTTCCTGAGTAAAGAGTGACCCCAAGCAAGCGTGGCCTTTGGTGCGCGACTCTTCCGGGGGCCGCGGCCAAGCCGAGAAGGAACGCGGAAAAGCTTCGCAGTCGGCCGTCTGTTCGGGGACGCCTCGGAACGCCTGCCACGTGGGGCCAGGAAGCATCTGCTGGGAGGTCTTCGTCGGAAAGATTAGGGAGGATGAAGCCCCATTGAGGGGCTGTTACGCCAGCGTGGGCTTCGGAGTAAGCCGGATTCAGCGGGATTAAGCCGGATTTCGAACCAGGGCAAAAACAGAATTTGACCTCCCAGGAGTTGGCATCCGAACATGGAGGCTGGAAAGTTTAGACTCCTGCAGTGGCACGTCGATGTACAACCTTTCCAGCCGCCAGGGGGCAGGCGTCCCCGACGGCGAAACACTTCATTTCGTACCGCTCCTCGCCTCTTGAATCTGGGGGCCCCCGTGCACCCGCACCGAAGAGGTCACGCTGGCGAACGGGCACTCTTGCGTGTAGCCGACCCTGAGCGTCGGATCCCTGGGAACTCCTCGCATGCCTGGGGAGGGCGGGCGGGCTCGCGACGGGCGGCCGCTCGGGGGCGGCGGGCGGCGCGCCAGGCGTCCCAGGCGGTGCGCGCCGGCCCGGTCCAGGCGTCGGCCGCGCAAGGGCTCGGCACCTGCTCGCAGGGCTCGAGCTAAGCCGTGTTTTTCGTTTTCGTTTTGTCTCCGTGTGCCTTCGTTTTGTCATCGTTCCACCTTCGCTGCAAAACGAAATCAGAGCAGAACATTTCCGTCGGGAGCGGTCCACGAAATCGGTCCAGCTTCGCTGCAAAACGAAATCGGTCCACCTTCGCTGCAAAACGAAATCAGAATGGATTTCCGTCGGAAATCGCCAAAACACCGTTCAGGTCGAGCCCTGCCGGGTCGCCCGCCCCCTCCTGGTCGAGTGTTGCTGGAAGTGCCCCTGGCCTTCCAGGTGTCCCCAGGATTTCCAGGGAGGCCCCCACGGCCTCCAGGAGCACCCCTCGCGCCTCACCGGGCACAGGGGGCCCCAAGGACTCAAGATGCAGCGGGAAGCTGGGGGCACAGTGGGCCAGGGACACCTTAAGCAACCCCGATCCTGCCTCCCAAGAGGGGGCCGTCCAAGAGGGGGGTCGCACATCATGTCCTGAGGCACGTGAGAGGACCAGGAGGCACGCGGGGACACACTGAAAGAAGAGGAGGGGCCACGAGCCATGAGATCTGGGGAGATATCATGGCCCCCGCCATGAAATCCACCTTCTCCAATCATCACCCCCCTTTTGGACACCCTGGACTCTTCTGTCTTTGCTCCCTCCCTTCCTCCCTCTTCCCTGCCCAGACCTCGTCGCGTCGTTTAAAGCATGCACCAGAGAACACCCCAACCAGTGGTTTCCCAATTGTTTCGCATGTACCTCGATCGGCTTTCCTCCCGGTTTATTCTAATTCGAATGTATAGGTTTTCCTTCGATATAGCGCAAGGCGTTCACACCTACACGTCCCCTATGTAGTATCAATATGCCTAAAATTCGCCGGCCCAGCGGGCCAAGGGCGTGCTAAGATCCCCGGCAACTGGTGAACAATAGTTCTAGTTCACGCGCGCGGGGGCCGCCCCTGGGGGTCCCCGGGCGAAACATACCCCCGCAAGTCCCGGCAAGGTCCCGGCAAGATCCCAGGCAGGTCCCAGGCAGGCCCTGGGCAGGTCCCAGGCAGGTTCCAGCTCAACATGGCCCGAGACGGTGCGAGACAGATCCAAGACGCCAGAGACTGCCTCCAGACAGTCCCAAGCGCCTTCAAGACACCCAAAAATGCCTCCAAGAGACCTCCCAAGAGGGCCCACAGAAGCAGAAATTTGTGATTCCCCTCAATTTCTCGCCTTTTCGGCTTACCGGCGCTCCAAGACGGCCCTATGAGCTTCCAAGACCGCCCCAAGACGGCCCACGAAGCCTCTAACAGGGCCCGGAGACGGCCCAAAATGGCGCCAAGACGGCCCAAGAGGCGCCCAAGACAGCCAAAGAGAGCCCCAAAACGGCCCCAAGACGGGCCCAAGAAGGGGACCAGGAACCGAACAGTCCAGCCTTCAGCCCCGAAAGACCCCCAAGAGGTCCCAAGGGACCTCCAAGAGGCATCCCAAGAGGTCCCAAGAGGCCCCAAGAGGCCCCACACGGCCCCCAAGAGGCCTCAAAACTGCCTCCCAAAGGCCCCTGAGAGGCCAACCGCGAGAGCCGAACCAACATCCATGAAGCCTCTGACCCGCCACCCACTGCCTCCGAAACATGGCAGCCGCCCAGCCGCACTGCATGGCCAACAACACCCGGACAAACGACAGCGGCGAAGCAATATGGGCCGGCGGAATGAACGAAACGATGTAGCAAAACACAGTACCTTTGCAAACTTCATTATGAGGACAACGCTTCGGCCACAAATGCCGACTGCACAAGAACGGACGTCAGTCCTGCTCTATACACAATAGGGTGGGAACCATCTGGAAAACATGCCAAGAGAGCGATGCTAGCCGATCCGTGGCCGGAGCCTCGCTTGGCGACGTCCACGTAGAGGCGAATATAAGCTTTCTCGGCCACCGCCAACGCCAAAAACTCACCGCGTGTATCCTCCCACGGCTCGCCCCTGTTCCAGGCTAGGTTCGCCGCGTGATCGACCAGACTTTTCAAATGGCGGGGGACACACGAAATATAATCGCAAATGCGAGCGGGCGGCAACAAACCTGTGGAGTACAAGCCTTCCAAATTACGAGCGATGCGAATACATACTGGGCGCAAGAACTGCCCTTTCAAGGTAGCCCTGTCGGCAAACAGTTCGCCACTACTTAGTGTCAGTTTGTACCCACAAGGGAATATGGCAAAACTCCCACTCAGCCTCGCGGTGGTTGGCTGGGAAAACTGGGATGCCACGCGCAGACGCGCTGAGCTTCACAATGCAAGTCGCTTTGGGCCACCTCGTCACTCGGCACAGTCAGATCAGGGCTCCTTCCAGGAATCCGGAAAGCCGCCCGTCCACCGTTGGAACGCGTTGCAGCCGTCGCGCCAGCTTCTCCAGTGAATGCCCCAAACATCAAAGAAATGATGTTCCCGCATCAGACATCATGGATTCGAGTGGCTCTGCCTTCCACGCAAAAAACTGCTGGCCATGCTCTTTCCGAACAACTGAAAAGACGATGTTTTAATCATCGATGAGATTCTGCACATTCGTGCCACTATCTGCGATGAGAGCGATGTTGACGCATCGTACTTCATGGTTGAACAGCGCTGCATCCATGCCAAAATCCTCCTAAGCGCAGTCGTCGGACAATCGGAATCCGAGGCCAAATTCTGCCCAAACCGCGATCAAAGGCTCCATCATGCGGCCCACCATCATTCGCCACTCGTCCCGCGTCTCTACTCCGCCTTGCTTTCCGCCCTGGCCGAAATAGACCTTCTAATTGTGCCCCGCGCTCGGGAGATCGATGACGGCATTGAGTCTAGTGAGTTCTTGCGGGTGGAGCGCCGTAGTGTCTGGATACCACCCGTGCCAGCATAGAAGTCGCAATCAGGTCGGGTGGCGTAGAGTCGAAGGCCGTCTTGATGTCTTGCCCCGATGTGACCAAAGCCAAACCCCACTCATGCGCAATGTAGTGGAGCCCACGGGTAAAGCTGGCTACCTCCAATCCATAATAATCCACGACTGGCTTGCAAATGCTGCTGCGCAGCGTGGGTCGGAGCGCGTGCAAATACCACTTCTCAAGCGCGGGCGATTTGCAAATCAACCGTAAATCTGAGGATCCCTGCGAAAATGTTCTTGGGGATCCCCAAGAAGAATAACGTCCGCCAGAACACCGGATTGTCCTGGTCCCACATGGAGGCCACCCTGTCTTTGAATAGGCTGTGTACGTGGAAACTGCCAGCCACGGGTAATTGACGGTACGTATCTGGAGGAATTCCGTCGTAACCTGCCGCCGTATATGTATATATATATATACACACGCACTTCCCCTTTACAGAGATATGTAGATGTATGTATGTATGCGTACATATATATATATATGTATACCTTTCTCTCTCTCTCTCTACTGTCTTGTTCAATGTGTTTTTCTTTATCATCGTTGGTTGGTTCTCTCTCTGTGTCTCCCTCCCCCTCTATGGAAGATTGGGGGGTGAGATCGCAATGAAACAGAGACCCCCCGCAAAGAAATCGGTTTCGGTGTCGTGTTCGTGTCGCGCGTGCGGGCGAGGCGAAACTGCGTGGGCGGGCGAGAGGAATGAACCCGCCGTTGCCAAGGCGAAGCCAAGTCAAGCGTTCCTGTCCACCAGGTTGGCAGGCAATGGCCCTGTGGTGTCCCGATGGTGTCCCAATGGTGTCCGATGGTGTCCCGTGGTGCCCCGTGGCGCGTAGGTGTCCCGTGCGATGCTATATGCTATGCCATTGTATGCTAGCGATAGAAAAATCGATAGTGAGATCGACAGTGAGATCCATAACGTGAGATCGAAAGTAAGATCGGTAGTGAGATCGCTAGTGAGATCGATAGTGAGATCAATAGTGAGGTCGATTGGGTGAGATCGATAATGAGATCGATAGGGAGATCGACAGAGGGATCGACAGGGAGATCGATCGTGAGATCGATAGTGAGATATATAGTGATATCGATAGCGAGATCGATTGAGCAAGATCGATACTGAGATCGATAGCGAGATCGTTTGAGTGGCATGGATAGTAAAATATGTAGTACTATCGACAGTGGCACCAATGGTGAGATCAATCGTAAAATTGGTAGTGAGACCGATTGAGTGACATGGATAGTAATATCGATAGTAAGATCGATCGTGATACCGATAATGATATTGATAATGAGTTCAAAGGTGCGATCAATTGTGAGATCGGTGGTGAGATCGATAATGAGACCAAGAGTGACATCGATAGTGGCACATATAGTGACATATATAGTGAACTCGCTAGTGAGACCGATAGTGATATCGATCGTGAGATCGATTGTGAGATCGATAGTGATTTCAAAAGTGTGATCGAAAGAGAGATGGATAGTGAGAACGATGGTGAGGTCGATCGAGTGAGATGGATTGTGAGATCGGTAGTGAGACCGATAATGATATTGAATTAGATGGATAACTAGTGAGATCGATCCTGAAATCGATAATGAATTCGAGAAATTGGTATTCAAGGAGATCGATCGGGAACCTGGGAACCATGCCAGGGCGATGCGGCAGGCGGAAAAGACGCGGAGCAATGCTCTTCCATGCTGACGAGTCCCAAGAACTCCTGTTTCGTGTGGCTTAGCATTGCGTGACATTGCCAGCAAAAAACACTACATTGCTTGGCACTGGTTGGCAAAATCGATTGTGAGATTGATAGTGAGATCAATCGTGACAGCAATAATGCGATCGATAGTGACGTCGACAGTGAGTCCGATAGTGAGGTCGACGATGTCGATAGTGGTGATATCGATTGTGAGATCGCCTGAGTGAGATCGATAGTGAAAGCGATAGAAAGATCGATAGTGAGATCGAGAGTGAGACCGACAGTGGGGTCGATTGAGAGAATTCGGTAATGCCATCGATAGTGAGGCCGATAGTGAGATCGATAGTGAGAATGATAACGAGATAGATGGTACGATCGATTGCGTAACATCGAACACCGATAATGTAATCGATCGTGAGATCGATAGTGAGATTGATTGGGAGAGATCGGTAGTGAGGTCAAACACGAGATCTACTGTGTGAGATGGATGGTTCGATCGAGAATCAAATCAATTGAATGAGATCAATAATCACATCGATAATTCGATCGATTGAATGAGGTGGATGGTGAGATCGATCATGATAATGATAATGAGATCGACTGGGAACAGGGGAACCCGAATCCAGAACCCGGGGAACCCCGCCGCCTACCGAAGTCGGTCCAAAACCAACAGCCGAGACCCGGGAACCTGGAAACTGCAGGAACCTGGCCGCCTAGCGGAAGCGGCCACCCACCTTCGCCAGACCTCTCTCAACCTCGGCGCCAGGACCCCCTCAGTGCAAGCACTGATTGGGGAATCACGACGGATGGTCTTTCGCTATGGTCGGCCTCCCAGGGGGACGGAAAACGGGCCCCGGGACCGCCCACAAAAATGCCTCGCGAGGTGAGAAGCGGGCCCTGCGGCGGTGCTCGCGAGGGCCCCGACGCTCGATGCCTGGGCAGCCACCCACGGAGCCGCCGGCCACGCTGCGGCCGCCTCTGCGCTGGGCCCAGCAGCTGGCACGAGGTGGGGCGGGTCCTCCCCAAACACGCAGTGGTATGGAACAGCGGTGTCGAGACGGAGATGCCTCGCAGCAGGCCCCCGGACCGCCAACAGAAGCGGCTCGGGACGAGAGATCAGCCCTGGCTAGAGGGACGGGACTTCCGGTGACCCCGTACTTTACTTGGCGGCGCGCAGAGGGGGGTAGGGGGAGGGGGGAAGTCTTCTCAGAAGCACCCCTGCTTCTTAGAAGGCGCGGGCCTTCTCTATAATAGACGTATGGCCGAGGCCTTCTAAGAAGCAGGGTGCTGCTAAGAAGCCTTCCCCCCTCCCCCTACCCCCTTTTGCGCGCCGCCAATTTACACGAATGAAGGCATCGGATCTCTGGGTCCCCGCCTCCTCCCGCTCCCCGCCCCTACCTCCCGACCGCTCCAGTGCCGAGGGAGAGGGGAGCGGTACAGGGGAAATGGCGTGTGTCGTGGGAGGAGGGTGGGGATGGGGAAGGAAGGGGACGTGGGGAAGTGTAGGACTGGAAATACGAGGAGGGGGAAGGAAGGGGATGGGGAGGTGAAGGGGATGGGGAGGGAGGATGGGGAAGGGGATGGGGTGGGGAAGGGGATGGGGTGGGGAAGGAAGGGGATGGGGAGGGAGGATTGGAAATACGAGGAGGATGAGGAGACGGTACTTGGGCTGGGGGGGGGCGTGGGTTGGCGTCGATCCCTGACTCCCGAGAGGGAAAACGGTGCGGGGAAGAGGGGTCAGCGCCGAGCCCTGACTCCCAGAGGGGGAAAGGAATGCGGGGAAGAGGGAAAGAGAGAACACAAGAGCAAGAAGGAGGCATACGGAAACGGAAGGTGAGGACGAAGAGTATGGGGAGAAAGGGGCGACCGAGCGGGAGAGGCCCATATCATTGGATGCCTGGTTTTCCGGTGGCGACCCGTAGCGACCGATCGCCACTCCAAGTCGGTCGCGACCGATCGCGACCGATATTGAAGCAGATCGGTCGCGACCGATACTGGAATCTGAAGCAACAGCAGTAGCGACCGATCTCGACGGTAGCGACTGGGAAGCTCCCGTATCCCAGGGTCGGGCGTCGGGCGTGGGTCGATGATCTTCAGAACGGGAATAACGCCAACGTGAGCTTGTCCACGACGCAGGCGGTGCAATGATGGCCGAAACAGGCCGATGGCTATCGGTGGAGCTGAGCGGGGCAAACACAGTGGGCCAACCCACACGTCAGGAGGATCGTCGAGTGGGTTTGGGGGCGTGGGGCGCGGAGAAGCAGGAGGATCACGAGGAGCGTCGGAATGCCAAGGGGCGCGCGCAGCCGCCCCCCGCAGGACAGCCCAGAATCGAATCGATCAGTCGGATCGGCGCTCGACGTGAATGAAGGGGCCCTGGGACACACAAAATAAATACACACAAATAAACAGATTCCCCACATGTTCCCATATTTTTTGGGCTTCTGCCGTCCACCCACTTCCCATATTTTTGCATATTTTCCTGGGAGTCGACGATTAATTGTGTCTGTGTGTTTCTTTCCCTCCTGAGTGAATTCGATCGGCGAAGCTCGGCGGCCAAATCGGGAAAAGCAGGATCCGCAGGCACCGGCAGGCCAGCGAGGCCTCCATCAAGACACACTGGCGCCCGCATCCTGAGCAGGGGCAGACCGTCCCGGCAATTCCTATAGGCCTACCACGAAATGCTCTTACAGTCGGGGCGTTGACCTAAGGAACCCTAAATAAGGAACGAGGCCCCTCTTTTCTATAAGTCAAACTTCGATTTTCCATATACAAAAACCTAAGGGACACCCGAGGCAAACTGTAAAACAATCAAGGAATACCGAGCCCCTCCCCAACGAAAAGCGTTCCTTCTTCAGGGCCCCGACTGTAGAACCCACGAATGTTCTAGGAACAAAAGCAATGTTCTTAGAACATACGCTCGATGTGTTAAAACAAAACAGCCCCAGCCAGAAATGGTCTACGAAGAGCTCGTGGAAACCACGACAGGCTCTCAGAACATCGTTTGGTGGGCCTCTAGGCACGCCAGGACGCCTCGCCACTGCTTAAACATCGGAATCTGGAATCCGATCGGCCTGGACTCGCAAGCCATCGAGACCGAGCTGGAGAGGGGGGAGGGGGGAGGGGGGAGAGGGGAGGGGGAGGGGAGAGGGGGGAAGGGGGAGGGGGGAGTGGGGAGGGACAAGCTAGGTGCGCTCGCGTCATATCTGACATCCTACCCCTCCCTCCCTCCTATCCCTTACCATGGCGCAGATCCCCTCTCTACTCGCACAGTCGGATGTCGAGCAGGGCAATGATCCCGAAAGGGTACGCGATGCATTGTAGAGCACGGCATAGCATGGCGTAGAAGAGCACCGCGAAGCGTAGTATCAACCTAGCATTGCATTGCATGCCGTGGCATGGCAGGGGAAATGACGCCAGCGCTGCAGCGGGAGGGAGCACGAATCGAAACGAGCGGAAGCGCGGAAATGAGACCAGCGCTGCAGCGGGAGCACGATTCGGAACGAGCGGAAAAACGGAAATGAGGCCAGCGCTGCAGCGGGAGCACGATTCGGAACGAGCGGGGCCCGAAAGTGAGGCCGGCGCCTCAGCGAGAGCAGCATTTTGGAAACAAATGCAGGCGAAAACCCAACTCCGGGGGAACCTGTGTAAAAAAAACAATACGCGGGGGGGGGGGGCGGCCACTTTCAAGCCGTCATCAGGGGAAGAGGAAGAGTAGTATTCATATTGAGTAAGTGTGGAGGAGGAGGAGGAGGAGGGAGAGGGAGGAGGGGGGAGGGGGGAGGGGGGAGGGGGGATAGGAGGGAGGGAGGAGGGAGCCGAGCCGAGCCGAGCCCTGCCCCCCCCTCCCTCGGCGCACCCGGGGCCGAGCCCTGCCCCTCCCCCCCCCTCCCTCGGCGCACCGGGGGCAGCCCCAGGGAGGCCCGCTCGCCCCACAGCCACAGCTTCGGCAGCGGCACCGTCGCCGGGTCCGCCCCGGCTTGCCTCGCGGCGCCCCGCTGGGGGCGGGGGGGGGACCTCCAGCGCACCTCGAGGCCGTCGGGGCGGGTCTTCTCGTCTGCTGTGCTCGGCCTCCAGGAGCCAGGCCCTGGAGGCCATCCAGCCACGGCCCCGGAGGGGGGGGGGAGGGTCGGGGCGTCCAGGGGCCCCCCGCAGCGGAACAGTCAAGGCTTCGGATGTCTGGGTGCCCAGATCTCCAGCGGCATATGCTTGGTCAACGTGGGCGTTCTGTCTCGATTTCGGCCGCTGGGGCCTGTTTCCCAAGGGGCCCTCAAGCATGGGTCTGGTCAAGGGAGCCTAAGCTCGCGCTTCGCGCTGCGCGAGGCGCGAACACTGTCGCGCTCTTGCGCCGCACCCCCACTCCCCCTACCCTACCCTGGGGTGTAGAAGCTCCAGAGGCTCCAGATTGCGACGAGGGGTTCCAAGAACGAGGCACCAGGCCAACGCAAAGGCACTCATACAGCCAGCGGGGGCTAGCGACACGAGAAACTCGGAAAGGGCCGATGAAACCTTCCGACTAATTTCTCGCCGGTTGGGACCCTCCCCTGGAGATGAAATGCCTCGGAGAGACCAATGCGGGCCGATCTGCCACACGGCCTGGCGATCATGAAATCTCTAGAGACCTCGCAAAACATTCATCACACGAAGCCAATAAACCAATCTCCCAAACCTGGCGGCGCAGACCGCGAACCGCGAACACCTTCGCGCCATCGCGGGCGCCATAGGCCCCAGGACGAAGAAATGGCCTCTGGGAAGGGGTCGGGAACTCTGGGGCCGCCGATTGAAAAAATCGCATCGTCGGATGTCTGGGTCGCACGTCATCGTCGATCGGCCAGCTGGCCGATGAGCGATCGGTTGCAGGGGCTCGAGAATGTGAGGTCTGGGGCTGGAGGGTCCAACTTCTGGGCGCGGCCGTCGTCGTGGCTGTCGTCGGCCAACTGTGCCTCCTTTGGGAAAGAGGAAGAGGCAGGCGGAGCGGGGAGAGGAGCGGAAGGGAGGCGGAGGGGGGAGCCTGAGCACGCGTGAGGGATCTTAGGGGCAGGAAGGAGGATGACGACGAAAAGAACGTCGGGGAGGACGACGCGGAAGACCACGAGTAGGAGGATGAGGGCGAGTAGTATGTGGCGGAGGAGGGCGAGAGGCCAAAGAGGACAAGAGGAGCACGAGAAGTAAGGTGAGGACAAGCGTGAGGACGGCGATGGACCAGGGAGGGGAACATGCGGACGATCAGGTGGAAGTCGAGGGCAAGTCAAATTCTGACTTCAGGGTGCCGTTGCCGATTGAGGGTCTGGACCTTCTCTGCCCCCTGGATAGCAGGAGGCGCGCCCTGCTGCACCTCCCAGATGCCTGCGTGCTGCGACCTCCTCGCGCTGGGCTTCGTCAGACCTCCGATGTCTTGACCTCTTCAATTCGGGGGCGTCCATGGGGTGGGGGGGGGCGTCCATGAGGAGGGCATCCAAGAGGGGGGCTCGCAAATCGTGCCCCGAGGCATGTGGGCGGGCGAGGGACCAGGGGACGCATGGGAAGGAACAGACGGGGGTCACGGAATCTATCCGGCGAGAGATCATGGCTCCGGCCATGGTGTCAATCCCTCTTGGTCACACCCCCCTCTCTAGGCCGCTCTCGATCCATACGGGGCCCCCAGAACTCTGGACCACCTTCCTGGGACCGGTGTTTCTCGGAACTATCGACATGGGCAATTACGGAGCAGTGTGTGCAAGCTGCACAAACTCCAACACCAAATTCTTTTCATTCTGAACAGAATTCGCACTCGGCGTCGCCACGATCGTTGTCCATTTGAAACAAAATGCCGGCCTGTCCAACTGCGGCCGCTGATGTTGTTGGACAGAATTTGTTGCTGAGCATCGTACTCATGTGTTCCGTAATTGACCATTCCTGACGTCCAAAGTTTCGTCCCAAATAACTGCTGGCGGTCCCCGGGGATGGCGAGAACCACCAGACGCTCAAAAACGACGAAAAACCTTCTCTGGGCCGTCGCCTGTCCCTGGGCCTCGTGGAACCCCCGCGGATCTGCAGCGCCGCGGCCGCGACTTCGCACGGCGCTGCACCCTGCCCCGGCGCTGGACCTCAGGGCCCCCCTGCTTGGCACTTGGTTGGACCTAGGACCGGATCGTGTTTTTCGAGAGCATGCGACCCTCCGCTGGCTAATCTGAAGGACGTTCGAGGGCCCCCTCCCGCGGGATGCGCCCCTCCACGAACCTCTGGAACTCATGCCTCGGTCCGACCGTCCTCGGGCGCACAGATAGGGGGCAAACGAACCTACCTCGCTTTTGACCACCCTCGCTTCTAAGAGATACCAAGCGATGCCAAACTACGGCATGTACTGGTCAGGCCGCTTGCCGAGGAGGCGTGTGGTATGACTTGGTTTTGCCTGGAAGCGAAAGCGGGGTAGGTAATCCACGCCATGAACAGAGGCCGATTCCTGATCCTAAGAACGCGTGCTTGCGGTAGCGCGTTCCGTCCACCGGATCCCTTCCGTTCCTCGCCGGGGACTTGTCGACAGCTGGCGCAGGCTGCGTGCCATCGGCGGAGCCAACACTCAAGGGACCCACGGACACACAAATAAATACACACAAATAAAAATATTCCCTATCTTTTCCTATATTTTTGGGGTTTTTGTCTTCCCCCCCACTTCCCATATTTTTGCATATTTTCCTGGGAGTCGACGATTCATTGTGTCTGTGTGTTTCTTTCCCTCCTGAAACACACGTCCCGAAAAACATCCAGCTGACCCGGTCCCGCCGCACCAAATCATTGGATACCAGCTCTGTTCGGCCGCGATTGGTAACGACCGATCGGCATTTTTTGCAGTCGGTCGCGACCAATCGCGACCGACTGCAAAATCGGTCGCGCTCGGTCGCGGCTGATACATTGCCGCCGATGTTGAACCAAAACGGTCGCGGCCGATGCCGGAATCTGAAACAACGATGGCGAATGGCAAACTCCAGCATCCAGTGATCAGTCGGAGAAAAGCGATTTGAGAAACATTGGACACTCAAGATCGGCACACATCGGTCCGCCGACCCCCTTCTGGGGTCCAAACGCATCAGTTTTCCGAGCTGCGTCCAACCGCGGCGACAAAGGGCCTCCCGAAGACCAACTTGGGCCAGGCCGTTGCGCCAAGGAAGGGCAAGTAAGAAACAGTGCCCCTGTCTGGCACCGGAAGAGCCTGGGCGCACGAGGCGGGCCAGAGAAACAACCACGGCATGACCCAAGGAACAGCGAGCCCCCTTCCGAACCCAAAGCGGACCCTATTTCAGCGTCCCGGCTGGATCCGGATGAGGAGCATCGGACATACCATGCGCCCCACCCTTCCGAATTCAACGCGGCCCTTATTTCAGCGTCTTGGCTGCACTGGTGACTCGAAGCGGCCCGGCTGGAAAGTTTATATGCCAACGGTGGCAGGTGGGTGTAAAAACTTTCCAGCTGCCCTGGGAATGGTGCCCCCGACGGCGGGACCATTTGATAGATTCCGCTCCCCAGCCGCTGAAAATCGAGCGCCAGGAGGTTGGCTCTGGCGGCCGCGAACGTAACCGCTTGCCTCCGGAACGACATACTTCCCACTCTGGCCCTAGCGTCTTTAAGGACTCTCGCGCCACATGGTCTTTCTTGGCATTCAGCCCTATGACCATGCGACTGCGTCCCAGGGGCGACGTGGGCCCCAGTAGTAGTGGCAACTGCCCGTGCCACCAGTTTGAACGACTGGCCGCCGCCGGCTCTTGGGTTATGTCGGGCGTGTCCCCCTCAAGGGGGATTTTCGACGAAAAATAAAAAATACATAGAAAATGCCCCAACAAGGTCCCCCCCCTCCACAAAAGTCCCCGGACTATTTTTGTATTATTTCTTAACTATTTTGGGGGGATGTTTTATTTTTCATCGAACATCCCCCTGTAGGGGGACAGGCCCGACTCACTTCTTGGGAGACCGTGCGCCCCACCGCCCCCCCCCCCCTGTGGGCGCGGCGCGCGCCAGGGCTCCGCTCCGCCGCCGCCGCCGTCGAGCGCCGGCGGGGGCACCGCGTGCTCCAGCGGCCCGCGGGGCCCTGCGGCGCGCCGGGCCGTGGGGCACGCGGCGGGCTGCAGGGGCCAGGCCCCCCAGAGAGGACGAGCACACGATGTCATGAGAGGACTGGCGCAGGAGATTGGCGGCGCGCACCGGGCGGTAGGGGGAGGGGTTCTGGGTACCCTCCCCAGGGATGCACAGGAACATCCAACATACACGAAGAACATCAGGGTACCCTTCCCGAACCGACCTCGATCTCATACCTCGGTCCGGCCGCACATCGGGGCCATCGTCCGAGCCGATCGCCAGCGGGGAGGAGCTGGCCCAAGCCAGCGCTTCAGCTGGGCGAGGGCCACGCCACGAATAGC